GAAAGAGAGGCCTTGCAGGACAGCAAGGATAGAAAACTTTGTTTACATGTTTATGGCCTGTCTCTCTCTGTACTAGCATGGCAGAACCACAAGAAAGACCTGGGGTATGTCATTCATTTCTGTGTCCCAGAGCCATATGCACTGCATTTGTTAAGCCAGGCCAAATACTGCATTAGCCAGTCCCTTCTTTAATTGTGGGAGTCCATCATTTTCCAGTCCAGGCACACCAACTAATTGTAGAAAGGAATGATAGAAGTGGAGTAAATTTTTCTGGTTCATTCAAGCTCTAAAATTCCATGACTGTGTGACTTGTTCTATCAATGTCCTTGTGTAATTACAGTAAATAATTTGTTGTTTATTGCTTTGACCAGCAACTAATTAAATGAATGGCTGGAATAGGTGTCCCATTCATAAATTGGACAAACACTTGTTGAGTGTCTACAATGTGTTTGTGCTATGTAGACAGGCCCATTTAGTAGATTCCAGAGCAGATGGTTTAGGATGAGAGAGGGTGGTTGAGAGGTGATGGGGGCCTCACACTGTGAATACTCTAGGATGCTCTGATTTGTTGGTGTTACTGAGCTTGTTGTGAAGAAGGAAAGAAGCCCTGGGTAGACTGAGAGGAGGGGGTTACAGAGCTGCAGCTGCAAGGGACACAGTGCAGCATTCAGCAAAGCATAATAAGCAGCCTCTATCTGCTTCAGTGCTAAGCTGCCCCCAGTTGCCCCACAAAACAGCTGGTCAGGCAGCAGAGAAGAGGAAGATGTGGTCCTATGGTCTACTCTGCACAGGACCGACACTCAAGTCAAATGTGGCTTGTGGCTTCTGCTACGGTTGAACAGCACCTTTCAGGTTTTGCTGCAGTCAGTCAGTTCTTTTGCTAAGTTCCTGTGAGGCCAGGCAGGGTTTAACAGTTGCATTGGAAGGTGAAGAGAGGAGGGTTCACCAATCGCAAGGCCTGTGAGCGAGGGGCAGAGACAAGACCGGAACCCAGGGGTCCTGACCCCAGTGTGTGCCCTGGGAGTAATGGAAAGAGTATGTTTGCATCTACTCTCAGAAGAGAGAATCTTTACTTGATCACCTCCCTCTTTCTGTTCTTTCTGGAACAAGGTATCTTAGTTTCCTTATCTGTAAAATAGGGAGAAAAATATCCCCTTTACAAGGTCCCTTGCAGGACTGAGGACATAATGAGCACAGAAGCGTTGTTACATGCAATGTGCTTGCTAGATATTGTTATGGTTTATTAACCGCCAGGCCAAGCTTCCTCTTGCGATTATAGATTAGGCGCTCCTGGCCACCTTTCCTAGGCCCTTTGTTCCACTTTTCACTCATTGTCTCAGCCCCTCCCCCTCCAACCGAGAGGAAGTGAGAGACGCAAAAGCACGTGCGTCTGAGGCCCGGTTTAGCGTGCTCTGGGTCACAAGAAAGCTTCGCCGCCCCAGTGGCATGGAGCGACGCCCCCCCCCAGAACTACATCTCCCAGCAGCCTCTGCGCGGTTCCCGCGGCGGCAGGAGCGAGGCGCATGCTCCGCGCGCCACGCCGGGTCTCCGGGACACGCCTCCGAACCGGTGTCGCCTAGCTGAGCCTGCAGGTCCTGGCGCTGCGGCCGTGGTGCTGCTCCCTGGCTCCTCCCGGGCGGCCGCGGGCTCGGGTGTGCCCTAGCGCCGGTCAGTGCCATGATCCGGCAGGAGCTCTCCACATCCTACCAGGAGGTACGAGGTGGTGGGGACCGGAGGAAAGTTTCTGGAGAGGCGGAGGAGCGGGGCCCCGGGGTCCCGGCTGCGCGGCCAGGGGCGCTTCCCAGGCTGGTCGAGCGCATCCGGGCGGGGGTCCCGAGTGCCGAGGAGCGGCGG